TCACTGGGGGCTTTGGGTGGGGATGCTGTAAAGCGCTTTGAGACGATGTAAGGTTGTGATAATGCGCTATTCAAGTAAAATTGAATTGAACTGAATATACATGTGCAAAACAGACATGTATGTAGCAGGAAATTATTATGTCTAAACAAACCGTTAAGGATGGCTGAGTATGTAGCAATTTGTAGTCATACACATGAACAAATGTGAAATTAGTGGTTAAATTATAATTTAGATATATATGATTTAGTTACTGTAAGTGCAGATAATCGCTCATGAATAGGCATTTTCTGAAATTCATATACCCAGCATTCTCCTGTTTGGTCCACTGCTTTATGGGCCGTCAAATTCACCTTGGGGGGGGGGCTTAATCCAGCCCCCCCCCCACTATACCACTGATTTTCTTTCCGATTTGTTTTCAATTCGATCCAAGGTTGGTATCACTTTGCTGATCCTGATCCAGAGAGTCAGTGCTGGGTCTGTCACTGAGGCCTTCATTTAAATTACAGTTACCCGAGCCCCCCCCCCCCCCCCCAACTAATATGGAAGAAAATTATAGGGCTGTGGGCTCTGACCCTGTTGATGTGCCACTCTCTGTAACAATAAAAACATTTCAATGACCAGGTAAAATCCAACATTTTAACATTAGCATCGATCCTCAGATTCAGTATTTCAGTATCGACCTGTATTTGGCCCCCATATTCAGTCCTGAGGTCTCAGTCCTGAGATGAGTATTTGGGAGTACTTGGGGTAGCCCTGTGAAAAAAAAATGAGAGACCAATCTATATTTTAAAACAAATCTGCATTTTTAAAATCCTGGTTTAATCCTGGTTCTGCTGGAAGAAGGTTACACTGAGCAGCAGGTTGCTTCCAGGTTCAAAGTTTCTAAGACAGCAGCACACAAGAATAAGGTGAAGCAGGAGACACTGGGAACGACCAGAAACCAGACAACTAACAGAAGTGACATTCTAATGCCAGAGATGACCGTTAACTTATACGACAGTTTCTCATAAATCATAGGGTGACATCAGGTGACCTTCAAAAGGAATGGGGAACATTAAGTGCAGGTGTGAAGTGCACTGCTAGGACAGTTCGTGTCAGGCTCCTAGAAGCAGGACTGAAGTTCCATAAAGTAAGGAAGAAGCCCTTCATTAATGAGAAACAGGGAAGAACCAGGCTGGAGTTTGCTAAAAAAAATATATATATTACTCACAGCTGCACACCCATAAACTGAGAAATGAGTGAAACAAAAAATTGTGCTGTGGTCTTTTAATTTTCCCACAGCTGCGTATACGCACCCCCCCACACACACACAAACACACAAGTTGGTCTTCCTATCTAAATGGGGACCGTCCATTCATTTCTATGGGAAAAACCCTAATCCCAATCACGACACCCTTAACCTCTACCCATCCCTAACCTTGACCATAAGTAACCAACCCAAATACAAGACTTTTGGCATTTTTACTTTTTTGATTGCATTCACAGATTTTTATAAAACTGAGGTTATCCAAAAGATGTCCCCAAAAGTAGAGACATTTCAGGTTTTCCTAGATTTTGGGGACAATTTGGTCCTCAAATGTGATCTATGCAAACCCACACACACACACACACACTACCCATATATATATAAGCATATAAAAGAATATTCACTGGATCTGTAGACACTGGATCTGTAGACACTGGATCTGTAGACATAATATATGGATTTGTGTCAGGGTCAGCCCCTGCTGTGGTCCTTCCGTGTCCCTTCCCCGTTTGACCAGCAGGCATTGCTGGTCATCCCGTCCTTCATGCTTGTCTTTGAGTTTCCCCTGTTACCTGTCTGGTCTTGTGGCTCAATGTGTTGAGCATGTGGTTGTCTGTATATCCTTCTGTCCTGAGTACCGTTCTGTCATGTGTTCAAATCCCGCCTCCTCTGCTTTTTTTGTATTTTGCTCCCCAGTGTTTCTTTGTATAAGTTTTTCTGGTTTCAGTGATTTGTATTTGGTTCAATTCTATGTGCCCCTGCTTGTGTCTTTACCTGTTCTGTAATTCCCCAGTGTTAGTTTCTGTTTCCTTGGTTAGTTCTTAGTTTCCCTGTTTTCAGTTCCTTTTGAGTTCATTAGTTTCACCTGTGCCCTGTTTCCTTGGTTTTGTTAATTAGCCTCACCTGTCCTGTGTTAGTCTCGTTACCCCTTAGTATTTTAGTTCCTGCCTGTGTTCAGTTCCCCAGTGGTTCATTGTTGTTGATGTGTCTATGATTGTCGTTGGTTTTGATATTTTCAGTGTTCTGCGTGTATTCAGTTTTTGTTATTTAGTCTTGTTTAATCCCCTTTCTGTTTTTGACCCCTTGTGGTCCTTTTGGTTTTGTGTTTGTAGTGTTTTCTGTTTTGATTAAAACCCTATCTGTTACTGGAGCCGCAAGTGGGTCGTCCACCCTTCTTCTGTGCCTGCGATGCCATGTTCCCGCACCCGAGCCACCCGGAAACATGACAGATTTGTATTAGATAAAACCCTCTATTACAGCCTGATTGTCATACATGCAGGATGGTTTGGATGTTTGTGTCTCACAGCTTTAACTTAAATATACAGTGTAATGCTCTTATGTTTTTTATTTTTACAGTGATGATTCTGTTTTGCTGCTGTGCTGTTAAATATGGGTCACCAGCCGTTTTAGTTACTGATCTTCCTTACTAATGCAAAGTATTATATTTGCTGATAGGGATATAACTGCTTTCATGCTGCATGATTTGGTGTATAAAACGACAGCCTGAATTTCAGTGATGGCTCATTTATGAAGACAGTGGAGTTTTGTGAAAGTACGAGGGGCAAGAAACGTCACAAAGACGACGACCGCTGTGGCTGCCTGACCATTTCCGAATCCCTTGCAACAGTTTTTTAAATCCCGGGATTGCGTTTCTAATCACAGACTTCCCGTATCCCATTTTTTTTCCTGCTCTTCATACGCATAATTTTACGTTTTTTCACATTTCGATAAGAACATCCACATCATAGAGTGGCGCCTCACTAGATCACAGCACATTACCTAGTACTTGTTTGCTCTGTTCGTCATAATAATAGCGACCCCCAAACGTAGCTCCTTTACGGACTCTAAATGTCACGATGAAAACGAGGCGATGTCCTGCCACGCCTGAATGCTCACGGTGGACCCAGCCTTCAGTGAGGGGCACGACTTAGCAGAATGACTGGTGCGGTGGAGAACTTTCTGCTGAAGGCCTCCAGTAGTCATCTAACCCTCCTGCTGGCCAAGAAGGGGTTTCCTTTCTCAGCAGTTTAGGTAGTTGCCCCACTACACTGGGGACCGTTTACTGACACCTTGCACCAGTAACCAGACTGACTAACACTATTACTCAGCATATGGCCGTGTGCTACACCAGCACCCTGGAGTCCAAACCAGTCTGGGGACAAATCCTGCATCCTGACCTGATCCTCCCAGATTAAAGCTAGAAGATGTATGCATGGTGTGGCTCTGTGGGTTAGGATGCTGTATCCAGGATAGGAATGTTGTTGTTTCAAATCCCAGCAAAGTGATTTCGTAAGTGTAGAGGTCATCTTAACGCATGTGTCTGTTTCGTAACTTATCCGGTACGTTGTGAGTCTGGAGTCTAGCACTGGGCATGAGGAATTTCTGGGTGGGATGGCAGACCATCAAAGGGCTCACACACACACACACACACACACACACACACACACCCCAAACACTAAATTCACCTAAAGTGTGTGTTTTTGGACTACAGGAGGACACCCAGGGGTAGGTCTGTTGTTCCTGTACCCCCAACCCCCAGATGTTAGATAGGTAGCATGTCGAGTCAGAAGATCAGAGCTACTTCACTGGTTAGCAGAACATGCATCTCCTGAATAAGAAACGCATTTAGTGCAGTGACTGTTTGTGGCCTATGGGGGGGGGGGGCTGTCCTCGTAAACCAAGCTAACGCGTGAGCTCCCACCACGCGCCTCGGCCCCCACCGCGCGCACTCGGGGTCCCGCCATAGCTGCCTCTGGGAATGGTGTTGATTTACGGAAAGTTCTGGTGTCGTGAGCCCCTGACCCTCCCCGTCGCCCCGCTGACAGAGCCATGGCTGGGACGTGTCACGAGGGCCAGTACTGGGACCACCTTCTCCGGATGTGCATGCCCTGTCAGACCCAGTGTGCTCAGCCATACCAGACGGAGAGATGCAACAACTTCTGTGGTGAGTACAGCACCCCCCCCCCCGGGAGGCAGCACGTGGCCCATTAGTGTGACTGCTTCATCTGCGCAGAACCGTCCACTCATTTGGTCATTAACACCTCAGCTTTTCTATACCATGAATCATTTCAATGGAATGTTTAAACTGGGTACGCTGAGTGATGTCACCTCTGGGTTTTGGGAATTGGCCGTTTGTCCTAAAGCAGCTGCTTGTTGCTCATCCTTCTTTTGGTACAAGCGCACAGAACCACGAGCAGAAAACCCATCCTCTCTACGCGCTCGCGTCTGCACAACACTCGCTCCCTCGAGTTTTGAGACTTTGGAGGCGGGAACAGCAGCTGGTTTCTCCACTTCATTGATTGGTCACTTTCACTCCTGATTGGCAGTTTGCTTTGGAAGAATTAGAATATGAGTGTGAGCATGTTGAGAGGATGGCTTTTCTGCTGGTGAGCACATACGCATTCATGGTTTTTATGTGCGCAAGTTTTGAGACTAATTAAACGCCAGAGAGCATCCCTTCGTATCTGTTGCACTTGGCCTATAAAACAATTCCAAGCACTTAAGATTACACACCTCCTCAAAGGTTCAACAGCTGAGCCAGAAATATTCAGATACGAAGTTTTCTTGCTATAATGCTTTCCGGCCTTCTTTATAACTTAACACAAAATCCTTCCCATACAAGAAGCCTTTTTAGGTTTTGAGGGTTTTTAAGGCTGACCTCAGTATGACCTCTACAGAATCTCTTAAAGGAACAGTGCGTCTGATTCTGGTCTCCATTGTGACCTCGTCTTGCTGCACCTCTTCCTCCCAGTGGCGATAGAGTGCAAGAGCGTCAAGGGAAATTTCTACGACTTGCTGCTGAAGCGCTGCTTGCGTTGCTCTGAGGTGTGTGGCCGTCACCCCTTGGAGTGCTCCCAAACCTGCAGCAGTGAGTCACGCCGCCCCCACCTCCGCCACTCCCCCTCCACCTCCGCCACTCCCCCTCCGAAGGGAAACGTGAACACCAATCGGCAGCTCAGCGGCACCAGAAATCACACTTAGGCTATGTAAGCCTATGTCCAGAAGGTTGTAGGTTCAAAGCCCTTAGCTGCACAGCAATCATATCATCACCTGCTCCTGGATCACTCATCTCTCTGTCCCCATGCTTTCCTTATCCAGGGCTTGAACAAACAACCTTCCAAGGCCATAGGATTGTAGCTTCAGTGGGAACTCTCTCCCTGAATGAGTTGTACTGAAATTCCTTTCATTGACACTCCAGCATAAGAAGGGAAAATTAAGCCACGAATTATGTTCAGAAAAAAGGTTTTTGGTAAGCAACAACCACAGTGCTGCTGTAATCTATATGTGTTGCATATCTTTACTAACAGCTAAGTCCACGACCCCAAATCTGACCAAGGAACTGCTGGACAGGCCTCCAAACTCTGGAGCGGAGTACCACACAGTGCTGATCTACTCCCTGCTAGGCGTGTGCCTGGCCATGCTGGTGTGCACGCTCGCCCTGGCCACGCTGGTGCTGCTGCGGAGGGCAAGGGCCCGCAAGCAGACCGCGGTCCACAAGGGCGGCGACACTGCCCCTCAGGAACACGGCAGCTCCTCCAGAGGTTCGTGTCAGAGGACAGCTCCTAACCACACCCTTCAGTTCTGTTGCTCTCTCGGCCTCATGACCTTGGCTGGTGTTGTTGTAAGTCGGGTATGACGTCTACGGATTTTTAAAAGAGGATTGGCTTGCTAACTAAATTAAGAATATCACGTGTTAGGTTTGTTACTGCTATGCAGACAGTTCTCAAATTACATAATAATCCGTCCCACAAACCCTTAAGTCACATTTTACACAAGTCGGATTCCTCCTCCCCCCCCGCATTCAAGACATCTTACAGCGAAAAACACATAAGCCAAAAATACTAGTAATATGTGCTAAAGAACACATAAAAAAGAAAGAAAAGACAATGTAAATTTACTGTCAATGTAAATTTACGCCTGTAAAGTCTGGGATATTTTATGTTTAAGTCCAGATTCACGCAAGTCGGTTTTATGTAAAATTGAAAGCCACCTGCACACACATATTAACCCCGTTTTTCCCGTCCCCAAAATTAGGTTCTGTATCTGGCGGTGCTTTGGCAGCAAATCCTTCAGACCCCTCCCCCAAATTGTGAGTGACTCTCCGTATGCCCACAGATCGCCTGCTCGTGGCCAGCAAGCCCCCACTGAAGAAAGCATCCCTGCCCACAGAGACCTGCGTCCATTGCTTTCCAGAGCTCCGGGTGCCGCTCTGCCGTCCCGGGAGGGAGCCCCCCATGCAGACCCCCGCCACTACCACGCTCTATCAGCAGGCGTCAGTCACAGGCCCTGCCACTAGGGGGTCCCCCTGCTGTCTGCAAGGGGGAGCCCCCCCCGTGGAAAAGGACAGGCTGAGGATTATCTGTTCCCCAACACAGAGCAGCGTCTGAGGTTATGACTGGGATGGGGTGGGGCAGGATGTGATGTGCCCCCCGCCTCAACCCATTCAGTCGGCCCCCGGCTCGCAGATGGTCTCCATCTGCGTGTGAGACGTTAAGCTTCACCCGATCCTCGCCGCGCTCCACTCTGAACACTTGTTAAAATGACATTAGATGACAAACCCCCATTCCCATCCTCCCAAGGATCACGCCGGGAAAGTCACGAGCACTAGTGTGGCAATATATGAATGTAGACGGGGAAAGAAAATAAAGCACGTTTTCCCATTTGTGTCTCATGGTCGCACCTCTGGCCTGGTTCCAGGGAGGATCTCGCCATCTTCTCGCTCTCCGAGGTCAGGAAAAGGTGATGGACCCTCACCAACCTGTTATTTGCACGTTCCTTTGATGCGTCTTTTTCTTTACACATCACAGTGAACACACAAATGCACACATTTCTTACAAGTTGGGAGTGTCACACCCACTCCAGCATCCCCCCCCCCCACCAAGTACTTTCCATAAAAAGTACATGGCAGCAGGTGGCATTAGGGTTTAGGACAGGAAGAGTGAGCTGCTCAGAGGATACATAAGCAGGTCACTCAACCTGAAGAGCGGGAGCAACTAGAGTAAAGTGGAGTAACTAGAGTAACCAGTTTTCAGCTAGAGCTTCAGTACAGCCCAGCTCATGCAGTCGGGAGGATTGCAGATAGCATTTGCTCATATGTTATGGAAAAGCTTTTCTTTTCGCATCCAAAATCTTGTGCTCGTCCTTATCAAGGGGGGGGGGGGGGGGGGGGGGGGGGGGGCAGGTGACAGCTTATCCGCTCACTGTGACTAAGTGCACATGCTTTTTTTCTTCTAGAATTTTCACTGTGATAAAGTTCAGACGCATCTTCGTAGATCAACCATCCTCTACCCCACCCCAATTATGGCATGGGGATCAGAAACCAGGACATAAATGAAAGCAACACCCTTTTAGAGCCATTTCAACCTGCTGTAGTGTCCCAAGTGTCCTTTAGAGGGCGTCAGTGCATCTCCTTTTTAAGTGTAATTAAAACAAATCTGGGATAGAGGGCTGCGGGTATAGAGCTGTACACCCACCTTCCCAAAATCCCCCACTCCAAATCACACAACAGAGAAAATTTCTTTGGGGGGGGGGGCTTGCAAGATGGGTTGATTCCAATTTAAGGCTCTAATCACACCCCAGCCTTTCCGCAGTGACGACGCCAAGTGTGGCCACAGACACCTCCCATAATAAACCCCCCACCCATATAACTTCAGCCAGAAAAACCGTAATGAATTCAGCAGCCATCTTGGTGTTTCTCACAGACGAGCGAGTTCATTTCAGGATGACATAGGCTCCACAAAATAAAAAAAAAAAACAACAACGACATCCTTCCCACCGCATCCTCAGCAAGGACAGCATCGCAACACAACCAAAAAGGAAAAGAAAGCGTACCCATGTGGAGAGAGCCAGTCATGGGGGTGGGGGCAGTGCGGGGGCCGTGGGAAACTGTAAACAGGAATTATTTTCTCAATGAGTCCTAAAAAAATATAGATATCCCCTGCCCTCAACCGAAGAAATGAGAACAACAGAAGACGAGACGACAGGGACAGAGTTGGGGGTTCGAGTCTACCCCAGTCTGTCTACTGGACATGACAGATTCACGGAGCAGCCCACTGGGGGCTCGTCCCCCGCCCCTGCCCCCGCAAGCCCCAGACCAAGGATTCTCCTTAAAAAATAGATGTACTAGATACATACATTTGTTTGATACTAAATTCACAAATAATGACATTTAATGTTCATAATAAAGTTCTTGAAAAGTCCGTAATACTCTTCCCATCGTGTCTGCGCCGTGCAGTCGAACGCGCGTGAGAATAAAACGACGAAATGACGTCCTTCCACCGTGACCCAGTAAATGTGTGATGTTCTGGAGCTACATAGGGAACCGTGGTGATTACAGGGGAGGGGGGGGGGGGCGGTTAAATATGGGTCACTATGGAAATGGAGGATGAGACACCCCCTTTGCCCTTCCTGTGGCCCTTTCCTGGCTCGATCCGCAGCCAATCGGACGAAAGCGACGGGTGCCCCTCTTCTTTTTTTGGGGAGGGGGGTTGCTTTCCCTATCAGTCCCCCCTTCGGCCCTTGCTGCTCCCAGGAAATGGGGCAGCCCCTCCCCTCAAGGCCGCACCCCCCATCCTGTGCCCCCATTAACACACTAATCCACCTTTTCTGATCATCTCAAGTAGATAGTTGCTCAGTGCTGATATATTTTTTTGTCTTAAAATTATGCATGATTTTTTTCCCCTTCCCTCCTGCCCCACTCCCCCCCTCTATACTCATCCCTAAGAGTTTCAGGTAGGCTTGTGTGTCGTCTTTTTTTTTTTTTTTTAAAGTTCATGTTTTTTTTTTCCTCCCCAGCGTAGCTGTAGCTCATGTGTCGATCGTCACCAGAAGGCCCCCCCCGTCCGTCTGACGGGCTACTCGTACTCCAGGAACTGTTTATGGTAAAACAGCAGATACCTGCACAGAGAAGCAGAGAGGTCAGTTACAGGAAGGCGGCACACGCTCAGAAACAAACTACCAAACACGACACCATCGAAACACGACACACTGAGAATCGGCGAATCAAATTGTGACACATGTCCTTGGGGGCGGGGCCACTCAGAATAACCGGCAGCCAAAATTTCACAGCTGAGTGCTTTGGGCTTTTAGCTGACAAATAAGGGATGTTTTGCTGTCCAAGGTCCCCACGTACACCCCCGTGCCCCTGGCCACGCCTACCCACCCTTCGCTGTCCAGCACGTCCTTCATGCTGGCCTTGGTGATGATGGCATCGTCACATTTGAACCACTGGTCCTTGTGCTGCCGGATGAAGGTGGTGTAGTGGCCACTCTCCAGGGTGCCCTGGTGATTTACCACCGCAAATAGGGAATACCTGGGCAGGGGTCAGAGGTCAGAGGTCAGGGCGAGCAGGCTACTGACCCCCCTGACCATCATCTTGGTTAAGCTGCCTAATGGTTTAAATCCCAAGGGAAACACTGCTGTTGAACCCTTAAATTTACTTAACCCTCTGAGGTCTAGGGGTAGGAAACACACTTTCACTGACTGGGGCATGATCACACATTTCTTCAAATATAAACTTAATTCATGGCAAATAAATTATTTCTTAAATATCTGTTTTGCCATTACACTCATCTTTATTTTAATGTATATTGTGAATATGTCAGATTTTTGTTAAGTTTGTAATTTGACATCAAAGTATAGACATTGCAAAATGCAGTTTGGAACATTATAAAAGTACATAGTAAGCAATGCTGGCACTTTGTTTTGATCCCAGATATCTGATCACCAAAGTCTTGGCTACATGAAGATGACTAAATGGTGTAGTTGCAACATTCATTTGGATAAATAAATAAGAAAAACCTCATGTCACTATTTC